CTGCCACTCTTGCAAATCGCATTTCTGTCGCGCCATGGACGACCAAGCACTGCAGGAAGTGGCGAACATGTGGGGGCAGCACAGCCCGATGGAACTCATAATGAGGGACAGGCCGACCGAGGAGGAGAACGGCGAGGGGCGGAAATTCCGTCGCAGGGAGGGCAAAGGCCCAGGCAAAGCAAAAAGGGAGCCGATCCCGGCCCCAAACCAGCAGCTGGCAAAGCAAGTGCAAGTTCTAACCAAGTATGTCAGCCAGCACGCCATGGCGCTGCAACTGCTGGAGGCCGACAGAAGTTGGGTCCTCTGGATGGACTCTGGAGCGATGGGCATCATACCTCAGCTGGTCAAGACCACGGCCACCTGGAAGGCGAGCCGAGAGCAGAACAAGTGCACCTGCAGCCTTCGCCAGGCTCTCCTGGGATCGCTCCTGCTGGAGCTGCAAGCTCGGCTTGCGAAGATGGAGGGAGACAAGGCGGCACAGGCGCCACTCATTCAGAGGAAGATGCTCGTAGCAGAACCAATGGCGTGGTCGTACACGAGATGGAATCCGGACAAGAAACTCCAGGAGCCCCGAGAGGGCAACCTGCTCTCTCATCAGGATGCAAAGGAGGCAGTTCAACTGCTGATGCGAGAGGCCGTCAAGCCCAACGTCATCCAGCGCTTCCATGCTCTAGGCGGAGTCAAGGAGGACAGGCCAGGAGCCACGACGTTCGTGCTGACAGTCTCCCTGGACGCCGATGCACGGCCCAACATCAACAAGGCACTCCATGCTCTCACGGAGACAGCGGCCACCGCGCTCATAGGAGCCAGGATCCGCCCGGAAAGAAGCCACAAGCCACTTCCAGAGGACCTACAGCGGGCCATCGACGCGACAAGACGGCAATGAAGCCTTCTTGCCAAAGTATTTTTACTAGTAAGGGCAAGTTGGGTTTGGAGTGTCTGCCTGAGGGAGTGTTGCACCGTGATCTTGCAAAGAATATTTACCCCGGGAAGCCGCCTCACGGCCCCAACATCCCCACCAAGCCTAGCGACAGTGGTCCTGGTTCAAGGAGATCACGGAGCATAGGGGAATGGCTGAAGGGGACAGGTCAGCCAGCACAGGGGGCGGACGCTAAATCCCATAGCCAGGAGAAGGCAGAGGGCCAGGGGGAAAAAGTCACTGATGCACCATGCCCTATGCAACATCAGCATTGTGTGCTTGAAAACCCATCCAACCTTTGCTACCTCAACTCCATGATCCAAGCACTGCTGCACCTGTTTGGTCAAGTCAGGCCGCCGGACAAAGCGGGCTTTGGATGTCTACGCCCCATGCTTAATGCGCTGACCAAATGTGTCAAGCCCCAGCAACTAAGCAGGAGAAAGGACTGCATGCAGCTTCTGCAAGGCTGGCGTGACCTCCACCAGCAGCATGATGCTGCAGAACTTCTGCAACATCTAACAAAGGACGGGGTCCCTAGGATCTTGCTGGGCAGATGGGAGTCCAGGGTTTCCGGAGTTAGTGAACGGGAGCCGGCCACAGTCCGGGCTTGGAACACGGCGGTGCCTCTGATCCCTCTACCATGCACAGGTCAGACCACGACACAGCTGGCGCTGAACTCCTGGAGCGTACAGCCGGGACCTCGCAACGAGGAATATGTGACCGCACTGGCTGACGTTCCCGTGATACTCAGTATACAGCTTCTACGTTTTCAGGAAAAGGGTGGTCGTATTAAGAAGGTCCGCAGCCCGGTCACCGTCAATCCAGTCATCAGAGTTCCCTTTTTCAAGGACGGAAATACCCAACAACTCAGCACGAGCGAATACCGGCTCATCTCTGGAGTTGTACACACAGGGGACACCCCACACACTGGGCACTATAGATGCTTCTGTCTCAAACCACAGAGCAGTTCTTCTTCTGAGGTGGAGACGATTGCTGAGGCCTTTGACAAAGGAGCCGCAACTTCGGCCCTACAGATGGTAGATGATGGTAGGACGCCATTCAACGCCACGGCTAGGGATGTACAGCATATAAATCGCAACTGGTACATACTTTTCTTTTCGCGGCAATAGTCCGCGCCGCCATGGACGGCGGTAGGTGTCCGGCGCGCCATAATGGCCACACCAACTGTGTGTGTTGCGCCCGCCGAATCACTGACTCAGTGAACGCGTTAGAATGAAAAAAAAGATGCTCCCTCTCGAGGATTCGTGGCCTGGAAAGCGCGACGCAGCCGAAGCTGAAGGACGTCGGGGCATTGGAGTGCAGCTTACTTTATTTTTTTTGGTTTTGCGATTTAGGCGGTTGGCAGCGGGCTTCACTGCCGCCCTTTTCTTGCAGACCGGGCTCGTTGCGAAAGTGTGGGGTCATTCTGAGCCTCACGCTTGTCGACTGGCTGTGGGCAGAGCCGGGAGCTGTCTTGCATGAAGTGTGGGCTGCGATCTGTGCCCATTCGCATTCGGTGGTCCTTCTGAAAAAGGCACGCTGAGCATGCCTGTCTTGCATATTAAATTCATGGCACTACGGCCTTGAGGTGCGGCTACGAGGGTTTTTCCTCGATGCCAGCGCGGGGGTGTGGGAAAGGCTCTGTTTCTGCGAAGTCAGTGACTTTTGAAGCCAGCACGCTTTTGCTGCCAAGTGCATCGTAGCTCTACCCTCCAGTGGCCCGCTGTCAAAACGAGCCGTTCTTCCCTGAGGCCTCTTCGGCAAGTTCATGTGAGCTTTATGCTCAAGAATGATGGGGGGATTCTTGACAGAGCGTGCCTGCAGGAGAGTTGTCTGCCTGTGAGAACTTGTAGGCAGGACACTTGAATGCGCAGCTGCGTGTCGTCCGACTGGCATGTGGCCCAATCATCTTTTCAGCTCCTCTTTATGGGGCGCCGCCATGCTCTTAAATGTTTCTCCCTCCCATCCCTCCCTTGGGAAAGGCTCTGTTTCTGCGAAGTCAGTGACTTTTGAAGCCAGCACGCTTTTGCTGCCAAGTGCATCGTAGCTCTACCCTCCAGTGGCCCGCTGTCAAAACGAGCCGTTCTTCCCTGAGGCCTCTTCGGCAAGTTCATGTGAGCTTTATGCTCAAGAATTAGGGTTTAGGGTTTTGGGTGTAGGGTTTAGGGTTTAGGGTTTAGGGATTCGTCTTGGATTTCGGTTGTCACGTCTATTCCTGTGTCGGGGTGGTCCTGATAGCAGTTGCTAAATCCTTCTTTCTTGGCTGAGAATCGCCCATTGTGTGTCGGAGCTTAGATGAATATGCATCAGCCGGGAGATTTCGAGGCCTTTTTCGCACTGTTTCTTGTCGCGTCCTGATGAAGACTCACCATTTTCGCCTCACCATCCGTGCTCTGCCCACAAATGCCGACCGATCGTCCCAATCCAGACAGCCGCTTGATTTGAGTTGACATGCCAGATGCCTCGGAAGATAGGTCTGAAAAGTAGGCGTCGATAGACCCACTCTGTAGACCCGATGGTTTTTTGGCCACGTACCTATGCTGCTGGCCTTCTGTCCAACCACCAGACCCAATGCGTAGACCCTGTCGACTTTATACATAGGGGCCTTACATCTGGCCATAGGCCCCTATGCCCCCCCTAATTATGCCGCATAGACCCTGTCCATTTTCCATAGGCTCCTACCTCCGCTCACAATGGACCCTATCCATAAACCCATAGACCCACATGCCGTATCGACTTATTTTTGTAAAAAGCAAAAGACTGAAATCTCTGAGCTCGACGAGTTTAGGGTATAGGGGTTTTAGGGTTTAGGGTTTTTTAGGGTTAGGGGTTTTTAGGGTTAGGGTTTTGGGTTTTTTGGGGTTTAGGGCGTTTTGGGGTTTAAGGTTTTGGGTGTTTTTGGGGGTGGGGCTTAGGGCCGAGACGTTTTTCGGGTTTGGGGCTTTTTTGGGTCAGTGGTTTTTAGGGTTTAGGGTTTAGTGTTGGTCATGTCCTGGTGATCATGGCCTGCGGCTCAGGGCAGGCGCGTTCCCTGTTCTGGGGCTGGTGTATCCTGCCAGTTCCGGGCGGTGGAGGTGGGCACAGATCGGTTTCTTGGGTGTCTTTTTCCTTGTTCCAGGCGTGCATGCACAGGTTAAGCGCCATGCGGCTGGGCATCCCTCGAACATGCTCAGAGCAGTTCAAGCGCTCATAGTATGGTGGAGGGTGGCGGGGTGTTGTTTGGGGTGGTTAGGCTCTCCGTGCCCTTGGCAGAGTGCTCCGGGCGCTCAAGGGATGGAGGGGGGCTTGCCTCTTCTTTGCTCCTGCGTAAAGCGCCGCTGCGCGCTCATGGTGCTGGGGACGTGAACCGTCCATTTTCTGTGCCAGTCTTTCCCGTGCTCCGCCACGGTGGGTGCAGCGTCGAGCGCAGTCGGGCTGGCCGGCGCTTGCTCCAAATCGATTTGGCTGGGTGCACACCCTTGTGCTCCCCATCCTGGTCCAGCGGTCCAAGAGTGGTTTGGGCTGCTGTGCCGGGCTTTGCGGGTGTGATCAGTGGCAACGCAGATAGGGGGGGATGATCGGCGGGCTTTTCTGCGTTTCGCGCTGAAAACAGGGGGGTGTCGATCATGTCCTTTTGATCATGGCTTGCGGCCCTTAGGGCAGGCGCGTTCCATGTTTTGGGGCTGGTATATCCTGCCAGTTCCAGGCGGTGTGTCTTTTTCCTTGTTCTAGGCGGGCATAAACATAGTGTTTAGGGTTTAGGGTTTAGGGTTCAGGGTTTTTTGGGTTTAGCTTTAGGGGGTTTCAGGGTTTTTGGGTTTAGGATTTTTCGGGTTTATTAGGCTTTAGGTGTTTTGAGGGTTTTTCAGGTTTTAGGGGTTTTCAGGGTTAAGGGTTAAGGGTTAAGGGGTTTTTAGGGTTCAAGGTTTAGGGGTTTCAAGGGTTGTGTCGGGTTTAGGGTTTAGTGGTTTTTAGGGTTTAGGTTTTTTTGGGGTTTAGGGGTTAATGTTCTTCGAGCGACCTCCGGATACTTAAGAATTGGGGCTTCAAGCTTCGTGTTTTAACTCTGGGTTCCATTTGGCGTTTGGCCATGCGGGTTCAGGATTCTCGATGCAATTTGGCGCATTGCTGGCCTCTCGCTGAGTCTGCCGATGGAGTGGGCAGGCGCAGAGCTGGGAACACATTGCAGCTTGTAGAAAGTCTGCTGGGGGCTAATTCTTGTGTTGCGGGTTCGAGCTGCCAAGAAATTTTCATGTAGAGCCAGGAAGGGCTTCTTAGGGTTCCCTAGGGTTTAGGGTTTAGGGTCGGCAAGTGTAGGGTGGCTCTGTAGGGGCGGCCCAGCGGGACCAGCGGGACCAGCGGAGACAGGCCAGACGTTCCTGACCAAAGACCTCACGGGTGCAGAATGGAGGCACATCGCCTTCTGGCGGCAGTGAGATTGTTGTCAGAGCCTCCGGCCCGCTCAGCCCCGGCAGTGCAACTGTCAAGCTCCGTTTCGGTCCCTGTAATATAGGGGTCGGAAGAGTTACTAGTAGTATTCCCTTATGGTCCTTTTTGTTGTTATACTGTAATAACCCCCCAAAACTCACTGCAAAATGTTGAGGCCCCTGTATTGTGGGCTTAGGAGCTCCTTATGGCTTCTCAATAGACCCACACCATCAAATCTCTTTGTTTGCATGATCAGAGCATCCGAGGCTTCGATGATTTCAACCGTTGCGGTGTGCTTCTCCCTTCTGAGTGCAGGACCCGAGTTCTGCCTCAAACCAGGGTCAGACACCATTCAGTCGATTGGGGGCTTCAAACACGCTCTCTGTAGGCGCAGAGCCCTTGTCAGGGTCCGGGTCCGGGTCGGGTCCGAGTCCAGGTCTGTCACCAGCCACTTGGCATTACAGCATTCTTTCACATGGGAGCAGCATCTGTGTGCGGGGGCTTTCAGGTAAAAACGATGTTCATGCAGGTGTGGAGGTAGGTCGCTTCGCCCAATCCCACGTCCTTGTTTTTAAGCTGTTACAAGACTACTTTCCTGAACCATTGTGGCCTAGTTAGGAAGGCTCTTCCTGACGTCGTTTGACTCAGGCTAGTGCACGCCGTGCTTTAGTGAGCATGGTGGTGCAGCTCCGCGTGTTGTTAGAGCAAGAGGCTGGGGCAAGGTCCGGCCGCCCAATGACATTGAAGGCTCCACAGCTTCGGGAGAAGTACTTAGTAGTAGAGTAGGTAACCTTTAACCTTTTTGGGTTAATATATTCCCCTTATATTCCCAAAGGTTAACCTTTAAAACCCCTAGGTACTGGACAACTGAGAGTAAGATTCCTTTTCGCGAGAGTCGTAGACAACCCTTTCACTACCCGGCGCCAGAAAAAGTGACTCTCAGCACAGGATGCGTGCTGGTTTTCCTACGCTTTCGCCTGGGCCTGAGTTGTGCCGGAGCTCATAGCTGGAAGGCTCCAAACCCACTCACAGCCACTCCTACAGACTACACCTCTGCAGAGCCCTCCAAATTCATCCGACTGGCATTGAAGTGACGGTGAGGCGTCGACTGGTTCACGAGGGATCCGCTTGTTCAAGCTGATGTGTTCTACAGCACCCTGGCTCTATATTGCGTGTTTAGGGTTGAGTGCCAGAGATGTAGAGACTCGGGTTTGGGAGGCTGTCGAGAGCATGGCACCTTTCCATTGGGTGACCGTGACGTGTTCTGACAAGATTTGTACGTCGGTTTTACAGCTAGGTCTCGGGGGCTGGAACATAGAACCGAAACGCTGGAAGCGTAAACATGCGTAAACTCTCTTGAGCCGCTGCCTGCTTCAATATCTTTATTCATGCTTCCTGCAGCCCAATCCACAAGACACACGGGTATCTACAAGGACGTGCAACCGAACAGACTGAGGCACCCCCAGTGTGGCCATGTGTTCTGGACTGATTGCCGCTTGCAGATTTTGAGCGTTTACCCTAGATTTCGATTGGGTGTTTTCGTTTCTGAACTGTGCCCCAAACCCGAAACCCTAAACCCGAAACCCGAAACCCTAAACCCTAAACTCTAAACCCTAAACCCTAAACCCTCAACCCTCAACCCTAAACCCTAAACCCTGAACCCTGAACCCTAGTGGTTTCGGTTGTGTGAGAATTTTTGCGTGGCCTGTCGTGGCCACGCATTGAGATTGAGACGGCTCGGGGGCTTTGGGGGCTTTGGGGGCTTGGCTCACAACGTCTTTCTTCGAGGATGACGAGGATGTTCAAGGTGAGGGACTACTACGGTTTACCGTATAGGCTCCGAAGGAAGTAGGATCCAATGGAATCTTCAGAACTCTCTCTGGGGCATCAGCAAGTTTAAGTCGGGTCTCATGACCGCAAGGAAGCAGCGCTTGAAATGCCACGCAAGGGATCGGTGCTTCTATCCCATGTCAGCTTTTGCGCTGTTTGCCAAGCAGTTCGAATCTCAGGGTCTTTGCTGCAACGGAGGTTCTCTCGCAGACCCTGATGAGCTACCTGATCAGTCTCGGCAAGGCCAGTCCCCACACGTATGAACCAAAGCCATGACTTGATGCAAAGCGCCAGCTCACATCTGCCCCCCTCCTGTGCGGGCGACATCTCGCTTGAGGCAAAGCAGGCTGACAATCGTTTGTCTCATTTTGGTTTACTGTGCAGGTTATGGGCTAGAATGGTTAGGCTTCAGGGTCCAGGGTGGTGACCGCCGCTGCACGAAGCTTGCGAAAGGCAGTTGCGCCAGGGAGAGCGCTGTCACGCTGGTAGTTGCCGTGCTTGCCGGAAAGGCTGTAAGTCTTGATGTGCCGGGTCATCTCGACGACTGCTTCTGAGTACCAGAAGCTATGACAAGGGGGCTTGACAGAGATCTGCCGCTAGAAAGAGATCTGCCTCGCACGGCAGGGACTCAGGCCCATATCCATCAACTTCGGGCGCGTGGAAGGACTAATCCCGACCAACTGTAGATGTGTGTGTACTTAGGAACCAAGCTAGAGCAAACTAGAATGTAACCAGTGCCATCCCGCCGGAGCAGGATCACATCAGCAACGACAGCGCCGACAACAACACGAACAACACCAACAGCAGCGGCAACTTGCAGCAGCAACAACAACAACAGCAACAACGAGAAGAGCAACAGCCACTCTTAGCTATCAATCTTTCCCTGACCCTGTCCCCAAGAACTTGGAGATCCCGATGCCAGCCGTGGCCGGAAGGTGCATTTCGTTCCGATCACGGGTGGGATGCTGGTGGCCTTGTTTACTGCGAGCAGTTACATTCTGTACTTGAATGGTGGCGCGCCGAAGTTATGGGCAATCAGGTTGGAAGGCGTTTCACGTTGTGCTCTCCGCTTTCGATTTCGGATTATGGACAGCTCAGGGGACGGACTGGGAGGCACTGTCGTAGCACACTGGGACCCGGTTAAGGCTCTGGGGCCACGGCGTTGATGGCGAAACATGTCATCCCCCCAGAGCAGGAACGAACAAGGGATAGAGAACATCGGTTGGCCGCTGGGCTCTAAGCTGGGTTTGGCCTAGTTCATGGATCTGCGTTCTTGTCGGGGAGCCGAAGGGGGGCAGCTTCGGCTTCAATTCGCAAAGCCCAAGGCCCAAGCCTCAAAAAGCGGCTCTTTAAAGCCAGATAAAAGATATTTAAAGCACTCAAGGAATTTCAGAAAAAAAGAGCCTCAGAGCCAAGGCATGCTCAGCTTGCAGCGCATCCTGGCCTTACTCGTCGTGGTGGGTGGGGAGAGCTTCCATGAGGGTTCCGACTTGTTTCTTGAAATTTTGGTTCCCGAGAATGCCCCAAAATTATAGCCAGTGGAATGCAAGACCTCCAAGAACCACTCAGCCTCCAATCCTACCTTAGCTTCTTGAGCAAAGGCCCGATATGAGATGCATAGAAATCCCAGGCATGTGGGCCCTGAAAGCAGCCTTGCTGTGTTTCGCTGTGCCAGTGGCTCAGTTTGCCGTCCCTTCGGGGCCCATCAGAGACCAGATTCGTGTCCAGGTCAGGCATTCGGCTGCATGATGCCGTGTGATGGGTCTGGAGGTATTCGGGATTCGAGAGCCCAGGACATGGGCCTGAAACATCTGGAAGTGATCTGCTTCTAATTGTGCCAGAAAGGCGTGTTGGATGAGATAGGTACTTAAAAGATATTGAAGGCCTCGATGCAACAGTTGTCAGGCTCTGTTTCTCTCCACTCAAAGCTGCGTTGCTGACGTGAGCAGCCTCGGCTGCCTCTCCGAGGTTGTGGCAGATCTGCGTGATTCTCTACACGAGCCATCTGAGACGAAGACATTGATTCGCCGAAGTGCAAAAACAGAAGAGCTCGGTTGTTGATTCAACTCCGCACGCTTCACTTGGGCCTGCACTTGGCGCCTTTAACTTGGGCCTGCACTGCCTGCTCGCCAAGCTCCCTCAAACCCAATCCCCCACGACGTCCCAGCCGCCAGGGGGGCCAAGTCAGTTGGGGACTGGCTGTGTCCGAACAGCGCGCTCGAAGCTCAGATGCTCCATTTGCGTGCCGGAGTTCAGATCCCCGACCAGCTCCCGAAACCCCAAAAAACTCGCTTAAGACCAGCTCCTGGAGCCTCAAAAGGCTTCCCAAATGCTTCAAAGGTCAAAAAGGGCTAAAGTGCCGGAAGGCCGAGATGTTGAGATTTCTTCACCCCAAAAAGACCCAGCAGACCCACCATTCTGAAGAATTTGCAATGCATTTCGGGCTGCAAAGATGCTTTGGGGTTCCACCTGTAGGGGCAAGTTTTGGGATGTCACTTAGTCATGTGGGAAAACATTCAGGCAATGTCCCAAGGCCCAAGGCTTTGTAAGGGTTTAGGGTTTAGGGTTTATATAGCTACAACAACAAAGGACCATCACAAACCTCGAAAACCCTCAACGTCGCAAGACGGCGCAGGTGCGTCAACGCCAAGAACTGCGTCTTCGCCAGCAAAAGCTCTTGCCCGAAGTGCGGAGCGCCATGAGCCCCAGACCATGACCGAGAGGGTGGAACTTGGGGCTCTTGGGCTGTTTTGGGGGTTGTTTTGGGTTTTTTGGAGTTGCTTTAGGGATCGAGGAGATGAATGTGCTTCCGTCTGATGCATGTTGTTGCGGCCAGGGATAGGCAATGTTTGTGTAGATCATTAGAGATCGCTAGCGGCCAACAGAGTGGCCTGATAGTGCTCGGGTTTGCTCGTGCCTCGATGAGTGAGGGGTACACGGGCTCCAGCTCTAAAGCTGAACGTCCGCAACTTTGTTCTTGGGCATCACAAGGGTTGCTTACAGCAGTCAGTTTTCAATGGAGTGAGAGTGGCTCCCTTGTCGCATGGGTGAGGTGTCATTGCATGCGGCCCAATTGGCTGCTGTGAATGTGTGGACGGAGATCGACAACCCTCGTTCTCAGCTTTGGTCGTGCAGCCCTTGCGTTCCAATTGCCTTGTCGATTTAGGCAGGGTCACGGAAAGCGTGTCCTTCTGGCGAACGAGCTTTCCCGAGCATGTGAGGTCCGCTTACTTCTGCCCTCTGGTTAATCCCGCTGCAGACCTGTTGCAGTCTGCAGCGGTTCATGCAGGGCAGCAACTGCTAGGCAGAGATCGCTAGCAGGCAACTCATGACTCAAACAGAGTGGCCTGATAGTCCTCATGCCAACAGCGGGTTTGCTCGTGCCTCGAGCTCTAAAGCTGAACGCGCGCAACTTTGTTCTTGTGTCTCCTGTCTCGGCAGCCCTCCTGTCATGAGGGCAGCAGAGCGGCTTGCAGCAGACAATTTCAATGAGAGTGGCTCACTTGTCTCATGAGTGAAGTTAAATTGCATGCGACCCACTGTTTGTCTCGAATGACGGCTGCTGTAAATGTGTGGACGGAGGTCGACTCAGGTGAGGTCGTGCAGGTTCTTCCATTCCAGTTGCCTTGTCGATCTAGGCAGGGTCACGGAAAGCGTGTTCTTCTGGCGAACAAGCTTTCCCGAGCATGTGAGTTCCACTTGTTTCTGCCCTCTGGTTAATCCCGCTCCAGACCTGTTGCAGCCTGCAGCGGTTCATGCAGGGCAGCAACTGCTAGGCAGAGATCGCTAGCAGGCAGCTCATGACTCAAACAGAGTGGCCTGATAGTCCTCATGCCAACATTGGGTTTTGTACACGCGCTCGGGCTCTAAAGCTGAACGCCCACAACTTTGTTCTTGTGTCTCCTGGCTTCTCGGCAGTTCGTGGCAGAAGGGCAACAGAATGGCGGCTTGCAACAGACATTTTTCAATGAGAGTGACTCATTTGTCACATGAGTGAAGTTTAAGTGCGTGCGGCCTGAGTAGATGGCGTGGCGTTGGGTGCAACATATGCGACAGTTCAGAGGAACCACTGCTTGCCTGGAATGCCGGCTGCTGTGAAAATGTGGACGGAGATCGACATCGCGCAGCCCCTTTCATTCCAATTGCCTTGTCGATTTAGGCAGGGTCACGGAAAGCGTGTTCTTCTGGCGAACGAGCTTTCCTGAGAATGTGAGGTCCGCTTACTTCTGCCCTCTGGTTAATCCCGCTGCAGACCTGTTGCAGTCTGCAGCGGTTCAGGCAGGGCAGCAACTGCTAGGCAGAGATCGCTAGCAGGCAACTCATGACGCAAACAGAGTGGCCTGATAGTCCTCATGCCAACAGCGGGTTTGCTCGTGCCTCGATGAGCGAGGGGTGCACGGGCTCGGGCTCTGAAGCTGAACGCCCACAACTTTGGTCTTGCGTCTCCTGCCTTCTCGGCAGTTTGCGACAGAAGGGTAGCGGGGACTCACTGCTTATCTCGAATGACGACTGTGGCAAATGTGCGGACAGATATTGGCCACCATGTCGGTCTCTCTTGAACTAGAGCCATCGTCTCAGAAGCATACGCAGGCCCTCTGTCAGTTTGTCGAGTGCCTCTCATACTAGCAGCGGACATGTGGATGATTTGCCTGTGCTCTCGTATTCTTAGTCCAAGCTCAAGTCCTGTCTTGCATGCCCGAAGGGGCTGGGACGTCGCCTGAAGCAGTGATCCCAAAGCACCCGAAGCTCAAGCAGCGAAATTCCAGAACATCATATTGTTCCCTTACCCTCCCTCTCCTTCTGCAGCAATGCAGCATGGACTCTCAAGCGTAAAGCCCATAAAAGGCAAGCGGCAAGCAGACGTCCTGCAAGTCCGAGACACCCTAAGCCTAAAACCAGGCAGAAGCCCGCGTATGCGCGGAGCCCAGTGGACACGGAGTTCCCAGTGACCGTTCAGGGGTTCTGGGAGGTAAGATGTAGGGTTTCGAGGGCCCCAGGCGAGAATTGGCAATTCTGACTCAGTTCCATCAGTACTTATTTTGTCGAGGGGCATCTGCACATCCGCAAGGCCTACTTGCAGAAGACGTGAGCGGCCGAACATTAATTTTTCAATGCCTTGCAGGCAGTCGGAAGCAAGTACTGTAGCTCCAGGTATTTGGGTTATTTGCTTGCAAGTTTGGTTTCCTCAGATGGACAGGGGTCTCAGAGAAGTGGGAAGATCGGAGAGGGTCAGATGTCTTGCGTGTCCACGAAGGCCCGTTCGTGTCCTTTCGAAAATTCTCGAGCAGAAGAACACTCGAGCTGTAGCTCATGAGTGTCATATGGGAGACAGGCCCAGGAGATGTGCGTTGCTTTGCTTTTTGCTTTGTTTTGCCCAGGTGCAGAGCGCCGGCACAGGCGGCGGTGGTGCTCGTCCCTGGAGCTCAGGGGGCGGTGGCTTCGGAATGGGCGCGGCCCTTGAGCACTGAAATGTCGGAGGAAGGTTTCTGGTGTTTGCGTGGCTTCTGAATCCGGTGCTTGCCCATTCCCCCCCAAGCTGTGAGAAACATTGAAACCCTAAACCCTAAACCCTAAACCCCAAACCCTAAACCCTAAACCCTAAACCCTAAAGTTGGGACTTTGCTCTCCAAAACTCCTCAAGGCCCGAACCTGGTCAAATCTGAGGTGAAAAGGCCCGCGCTCGTACACCCCAAGCCTCGCTAAGCAAGCCCAACCCGCTGAAGCCATCAGAGAAGCCTTCAGAAAACTTTGTGGTACTTTACTGTAACTTTAGATCCTTACCCTTTTTGGGTTCATTGGGTTTCTGAATGAGGCAGCTAAAAGTTTAAATTTTTAGCTACCCTCCTGAGTGCAGCCAAAAAAAGACCCACTCCCTGCGCGCAGATCCACAGATGAAGAGCTTCGCGAGCGGCTCAGTGTGCGACGTCCTTGCCTTTGCAAGTGCCCAAGCAGGGGCTGTCACCCCAGGTGCCCCAGTAATGATTTTCTGCGAACTCCTCATCACACCACCAAGATCGTGAGGTACTCTACACGGAAAAGTAATCAACACAGTCAGGAGCATCGGACCGACTGCCCAAACCTTGCTTGCGAATCCTCAGCTCCAAATGCCCGAAGATGCCCCCGAAGATGCCCCCGAAGATTCCCCGAAGATGCCCCGAAGTCCCGA